AAGATAAAAGCACTTGATGCCTCTCTTCCTTTTGGTAACACCCAATCACATCCAACATTCCTAATCACCCTGTCTCTTTGTACTGATCTACAGTTAAAATAATGCAAACTGTGCCCAGGACCCATCCCCAGTGAAATTTGTGTTCAACAGCTGCAGCTCAATTTGACATATCTCGCAAAAAGGATGCTGTAGAGTCACAAGAGCCCACTAGAGAGTGCTAGAGAGCACAACTATTCTGTAAACCAGCTACAACTTAACATATTTCTTTCAAGTTAAATCATTTTGTGGTAAACTTCACTATAACCTAAGTCTAAGATTTGAACAGTCCCTGTGTTAAATTCAGATTTTATGCATTACTAACTACATAGACAGACTAGACTGCCAGTCAGTGCATATAGTCAGTCCCACTGCTGGGGACTTGGAGAGAAATAAGCTACAGTACGTACAGGTGACAACACCAATGACAATAATTACAAACTACTGACAATATATACATTTAAAATAAATATTCTCTGTACATAAAATTCATTCATTATAATATTTTACTAGATTTCATCATCAGATGTTTCTGATTATGTCTCCCTTAGTCATACTTTTAATATGTATACTCTAATAGAGAAATGAGCAAAAAAAAAAAAAAAAACAGAGGAGGAGAAAGACGGACAAGGCAGAATTCAAACAAGGGAAAGTAAACTAGAGAGCTAGAGTGGATATCTAGAAGGAGTAAAGCAAGAGGATCCCCATGAGGACGGGGAGGGAGAGTAGGCGGAGATGGCTTATAGGTTTAAATCTTTTAAATTAAGACTGGACTGTGAGGTCTGGGTGCATCTCTGGCTAAGAACAGAAGCCATGAGGAACTGAACTAAAACAAAACTAACTCGTACAGGGGGTTACCCTGCTTGGCAGGGAGAGATACGGGACCCCATAATGGGGAAAATGAACTTGCAAAAAAGTGCTGCATAAATTTACAGAGAGATAACAGGGAGAAAAAACAAAATCAATCTCTCCTCACTTTGGGGATACAGAGTCAAAATCTCCCCACAGGTCAGAGCTGGCTGTGGTGGCGGGGTCGGATGGAGCCGCTGAGTTGGAGTTACTGGAGTCCAGGTCTAGCAAAAAACCTGGTGGTTAAAAAATAAAACAGAAACATAATGCACCTCTGTCAAAGTAACACAAATATAGATTTCTGATGTTGTTTCTAATCAGTCTGAGAATTCAGCATTTAAAGAAATGTATTGTGAATTCTACTAATAGATAGCAAGAAAAGCTTACAAGCGATTTGACCTGCTGTTAAGTCTGAAGAAGTTTTTTAGCTAAAGGGTTGATTCATACAAAGGTAGTTTACCATACTGGTATGAAGCCATGCAGATACTTTCAGTATCATATGCTGAGGTTTTGAGATATCAACCTCAGAAACTTCCGCCGCCCCCCGAACACAATTGAGGCTAATAGAACTTCATTTGTGCAGCTTAAAGCACTGAATACATTACAACCGAGGCAATCAAACAGTCTCCCATTTACTCTGGATAATCCACACACCTTGTTGTTTCTTCTGGACTATTTCTGTGGTAGAGAGTGGATCCAATGAAAACTGAAAACATTTGTGGAGAGATAAACTGCTGCTGAACTTTTCAAATGTGTTTTCCATGTTTTAAGCATCACAACCAAACATCCATTCACCTCCATTGTATTCAAATGGCTGCAGACATCTGAGACAAACCTCAACACGTGAAACCGAAACGATGTGCACGGCTAGTTAGCACGCACGTGGACGAATATGACACTTCTTTGTTAGAAGATAAATTGATGTGATTTGCAGCGTCAACACATCTATACTACGAAGGGCCAGAGAGGAGAGGGGCAACCATCATTTTCTTTTAAGCAGAATAAAATAAATTCCTGTATTTTCCAACTGGAGTCTACCTCACAGTTTTGGCTAGTATTCCTGCAGCTCAACATAACATTGCACTCAACACTTTGACAGTAAAGACTGGATACAAGTGCTCCACTGGGAACAGCTTTACAACAGATCCCAGTGGAAATACAAGCTTTCAACGACGGATGTACTTTCCTCTGCTTTATACGACTGCACTATCTCTATAGTAACAGAGGTGAGTACAATGTTTACCCATAGATATGTTCACCAAAAGAACAATTTATCTCCAATTTTTCTGTTCTCGTGATCTTGAGGAATACATTTTCTGATGTCAACATAACACTTTTTAGGATCAATAACTGCATAATTTTTCCAACTTCTCATAATCTTTATACACAGTTTTTATTGTGTGATCTCGATGCAACAAGCTATCAAATAGTCAATCAATAGTTTTCTCGTGATTAATAATTATTTGGTGATTACAGATCGACATCACAATGTGTTTATTATCCAGATTACGAGAAAACAAAACACGAGACAGACCGTAATTCAAGTAGGTGCATGCTCTCTCCATCTCCCCGCACTGAAGTGTTACACCTACCAGTGTCACTTCCTCCAGCAGACGGTTGTGTGTTATGATTGGTAGATCTGGATGATGGGGGTGGAGCTAACTTGCCCCCAGGTGGAGGTGGCAGAAGCCCAAAGCCACCTGAACTCTGCGGACGAGACCTGTCCTTCTTTTTTGATTGCTGGAAAAAAATATTTAATTAGGGAAACAGAAACAGAGTTTACAGATTGCTTGTCCACAAAGCAGAGAGGTAGCCTGAGTTTGAGGCTCAAAGTTAAACCCTGATCACAAATTAATTCTCCACTGTCACATGGTTTCATCTTAAATCGTAGCATACATTTGGTGGTTCCTACTCCTCAAACCTTACATTTAATGAAAATAAGGTTACCCCAATATTGAGAGTAATGGTCTGTCCTTCTTTGAAGCCCAGGTCTAGTTTAGGAGTAGAGTCTGGAGCCTGCGCCTGCTTAATAAATTCAGTTTCCTGTTTCACCCACCTGGAAGGAGGGAGACAAACAAACGGATGAAAGATAGTTCAATAAATCACTCCTGAATTAGCTTTGATTCATGACACACTAGGAAGCAGCTGCATACTTGAAGTGATCCTGAAGCGCAACGTTGAAGTCAAAGGCATCGCCTCGGTCTCCAAACCCAATGCCTATGAATGCACTGCGCCCTAAATGAACACAACAATCAAGGGTTTAGTAAAGGATACGCAAGGTAGTACATACTAAACCTATGAGCGTCTCAGTAAACTGTAAAAATAACTACGTGCCTGTGCTTTGGAGCATTGTCCTCTAAATTATGAGCACATTTACTGAATATTTATGGCTTAACAACAAACTGTTTACCCACCGTTGTCATCCTGGATGCGGAGCACAAAGTAACGGCTTGAGTCACTGACCGTCTCCATTGCGATGCCAGGGTACTCGTCCAATGGCGCTTGGGCAAACAGCTCCCCTGCAGGTTGAAACAAAAGAAATGTGTTCATTTATCTATTTGGCAAAAGGCTCCAGTCACTAAGCCAAAAACTCAACTAAAACAGATTTAAAATAGAAATGAAATGTTTTTCCTGTGTAAGAATAAAATATGTAAGGTGGATTCTAGTCAGGTCTAGTTAAACAGGCCAATTTAAGGTACAATCTGAGGACAACAGGGATGCACAGAAAGAGACAGAAATATCATCAGCCTGTCTGCTTCAAAATAATCGGCCTGGACGTGGGCTGGGTCACCTTGTAATAGATGAGTAACAGAGAGGAAGGGGGGGGGTTGATGGCATACAAGGAGACTACACAGCGAAATGATTTACAACAGTGGCAGTGCCGGTAAACAACGGCAACTGTCCTGTCTGCTGCTCTCTCACCAGAGATTTTGTCTTCCAATTTCACGTAGGCCACATTGCCTCGGGCCGTCACACGCATACGTCCCGTCCAGTCAGGAGCATCCAGCTTCCAATCGGCAGCCCTGGGACACAAACACAGAGGGGACATCAGGGAGACAGAGCGGCGTAGGTGAAGTGGTGATGGCCGTCTATTGAGGCTGATGTTGCGTTTTGTGTGTTATTGTTATGATCCGTCGCACACTCTCACACACTCTCGCTCTGCGTTGGGTTATTCTCTACGTGAAGAGGAACGTGACTAAGGCATCAGACGGTCATTTTTGCTGAGACCTAAGGCTGCTGTATTACATCATCACCCTTACTCACTATACATATGGTCACTGGCTAACCAATCATGGGTCTGAAGGGATCTCAGGCCTGTGCTACTGTTTGGTTAGTGATGTAGTCCACTCAGATGCAGCTGTAGTGGGTCAGGTTGGAGCACCAGCCAATAGAAAATGGGGTAAACAATTCAATGTCAACTTAAATGCATAGAGAGGGGGGGGGTAGTTGGGTGCTGACTTGCAGTTGGATTACCCATGTTATGAGCCTTGTTATGAAACAGCACTGACACTGCTTTAGTGTCCTTGAGCAAGGCGTATTTACACCTTCTGGGGATGCTGTTCTGCTTTACCACCTAAACCTAAATACTTAAAGGTCAGACGAGAAGAAGTGGGGAATGTCTGGAGCACAATAAAGAACCGTTACCGAGCTAATCACTCAGAGTTTTTTCAGCAGGGCAGGCATTATTTATCGTGCCATAGGCAGAAAGCATATAACAGCTCAAACACACGGACGACGGGAATGCAGTCAATCCAACTGTTCAGTGGGTTTAACGTTCAAACCCCGACCGTTAATTCCGTTACCCCCCCCACCCAGTACCTCCCTCATATAATGACCTTGTAATTACACAGCAAAGACAACCAGCACAACAGTACGGCCGCCGTTACTTGAGGCTGCGTGATTAGAGGATGAGCCCGGTTGGTAGGTCGCCGAGGCAACGGCTCCTAACGGCTGCAGCTCGCGGATGCTGGGCCAGAAAAAAAACCCACTCGCCGTGAGGGCCGCTACCCCCCCGGCGCCCCCCCCCGCCGCCGCCGCCGCCCCCCTCACCTGATAGCCCGGTTGGATGCTCTCGGTGGGATTCGGTAGACGTTGACTTCAGGTTTGACACATAGGACCGACTCGTACTCGGACTGACCCTCGGTCGCCATCTTGACTTGTACTCAGTCGGTGCACGCCGGATACATCTACGGGGTGGTGGTGACGGTGAGTGGTGTGTCCGTGCGTCGTTAACGGCTACGGGACCGTAATACACGGTGTACTTGCGCACACGCTGCCACAGTGTCCTCGATTAAAGGGGCATGACACCGATTTTACACATAAGTTCAAGGCCCAGTAACGTTTAAGATAAGGCATGTAGATAAGGCTTTTTTTTTTTTTTTTTGCCACCATTTAGTCAAATACAGACGTGAGTGGTGTTCAGTTAGTTGCAATCCATCTAAATACTGCTGGTCCTTTAAAGGTCAGTTTACTCATTATGGAGAATACTTCTGAACCAGTTTAAAGTCAAGGGAAATTACTCTCTGTCATTACACTGACTGACTACACATTTACACACAACCTACATTACCACTACATTAGTGGGGTGTGGAGTTTTTAAGAAGTGAGTATTTACCAGACAGGAAGGGTAACAAAAAGTTTTGTGGTTTGACTTTTATTACTTAACAAGTGCAGTAATGTATCACTGCAATACCCTGTTTAATTTGCTCTATAATACTAATTACTACAAGCATTTAAGTTGGCTTAATACCAGTTAGCCAATTAGTAATAAAAGTATATTTTAGGCTCCCTACATCACTGCAAGTCCATAACTTAACATCATAACACAGGACAACATTTCAGTGTATTTTATTTTATTTTACATTATCATATTATTACAGAAACTACAAGCAGCAGCTACCTAATGTCACAAGCCTTGCCACAACATGAAAGCAGTTTTTTCTCAGTTTTTCTTTATTCTCAGTTTAGCGGTTGTAGTGATGGACCAACACCAACATGTATGTTTCTCTGTAGACTCAATGATAGACTTAATGGTAACACCAGGGGATAGTTTCACAGTCCAAGGAGCTTGAAGGCATCTCTTAAATCTTCTGTTTCACTGGGCTGAGGAGGAAAGAAAACATATCATTATTGGTTTTGATCTAATCCCTTTGGTTAAAGAGAAAACACGCAGTATGGTAAAACTTCTACCTGAAGGATGCGTTCGAGTTTTCTGGCAAGTCGAACAGAGTTTCGGTGCAGCTCGTCCCAGGCCTTGAAGTTACTCTGCCTACGAGCCACAAAGGTCTGCCAGCAATAGAAGAAATCTGAAGAAACAGGAAAACAATAATCGTTGTTGACATCCAGAAAGCGAAACTAATATATTTATTTACATATATCTCTTCAGATTTATTCCCCCACCTTTGTAACTCATGACTGTGATCTGCACGCCTGCTTTTTTCAGCATCCTTAGGCCTTCTCTTTCACGGCTGTCCTCCATGTCACAGAAGTAAAGGCGAGAGACAAAGATCCTGAGTCGAAGGTTGGGCGTCTGGCTGAGGAACTGGGACAGTCTGATGGAGCAGTTGGAGCAGGGAGACCAGGAGCAGAACCAGGTGATGGAGTAACTGAGCCTCTTCTCTCCAGTACCTCCATGCCCCCACAAACCAGGGCACAAGGCTCCCAGATAACGCAGGAACAGCAGCTATGGAGAAACAGGAGAATGGAGAAAATAATTTTTTGTCTTTTCTCCTGAACAGACTTCTCATATGCTTCCCTATCTTGACCCGCATTACTTACCTCTACATGGCAGCCGTTGCGATTGCGGAGGTGTCCAAAGTCAAAGGTTAAGGTGTCTGGCCCCACTCGCCTCTTCACTACAAAGCAGAGGTATGTCTCATGCCGGCCCTTTGCCCAGCGCATGTTCTTGTAATGGTAGATAAACTTTTTCCGGGGCAAAAGCACACTACAACAAAGGGAGAAAAGGCCTTTTATAGCTAATAACATGCAGATAAAACAGAGAACATCTTACCTACTGAATATTTAAAAAAAAAAGCTTCATGCTCAGAATTTATCTGTCAACATTTCATCAGTAACCAGGGCTGCTATTTGTGAACCAACATCTTGACAGACAGATAATCTCAGTATTATTCAGCAAAGACGGTGCTTTTATACCGGGAAAGTGTAAGACAAAAATACGGTGAAGAAACTAATTAAATGACCATTTTACCTTATTATTATTCAGATGACTCAAAACAGTTTTAATCGAATAAGTTAGCACAATAAACTAATGTAAAACTTGTGGTTAACCAAATGCGAGTGATGGACAGTCAGAAGACAACTAACATTCACTGCTTTCTGTCACTCTCAGTTTCACAACTTTTAGCGAAACCGGGCCAGTTGTTAATTACTCATTAATACTAAAACCTCAATTGGTAATACTCAAAGGTGGTATAGTGCTATCGTTATTGAAACAGAATTCCACTGAAGAATATCTTATATTGGTATCAAATTATCATAATTTATTTAAAAAACATCAAAAATTCCATTTAATAGTATGCATGTGAAATATATATAAATGTGTCAGACAGAAAGACAACATATAAATAGGACGTATCCATTTTGCTCACCTGTCTAGCTTTGTAATCATTTTGAAAAACGCGCTTTGCTTTATCACTCGTCAGGCGTGGGCAATCAATGAAGGTAAATGACAAAGAGTGAAAGTGTGTGTGTGTGTGTGTGTGTGTGTGTGTGTGTGTGTGTGTTGGGGGGTTAAAGGGAGGGAACTGAGAACATATACCTCTAAACATAAACATCCTGCATACAACAGAGGCAGCTTCTGGTTGGACAGAAAACATTTTCAAAGTACGTTCAGGGGGCGTGATACAAAAGAGATGGATGTATTGTATTGTCTTGCTGCTAAACATTTAAAGCTATAAATGAATTACTCATTCCTTTTAAGGGCATCACGTTTTCAACATTGAACATTACTTCACATAATGACTGTGGTGAAACCATTCTTTTGGTGCAAGGCAATAAAGGAATCTTACTGGGGAGGCAGATTACACAACAGAGATTTAACAAACTAATCTGAGTGACCACGCATGAGAGGAGGAGTGTTTGACGTTGTTTGTAACCTTTGGAGTTACTCACATACGTCAGTAAACTGAGCCAACTGGCTGGAACTTTCCAAACACTTAAAACTCATCCAGTCACTGGCCCCCCTCCACTTTGGTTTTCCCAGATCATAAAAACTTCCAGATAACTTCTCACCTTGATCAATAGTGGAATCGCCACCGAACCCCTCTGGCAATTCAACTTTTCCACCTAGCTAGTCACAACACTTTTCTGGGGCCCCAAGATTTTGTGGAGCCATAGGCGTTCCCAGACCTCGGAGAGGCCCTGACACCTACTTTGTGATCTGATCTGGGTTTTCCCAAACTGTGTCAGGCTGGGAGCAGAACTATAATCGACCTCCCTCACCCTACGTGTCTGCTAGAATGGCCGGCCAGCTGACCAACCACAGTGTGTGGATAAATCTCACTCATAAGCCTTTGAACCGTCAGATGCTGTCATCCGTCCACGCCAAATCAGGATGTGTATTATTTTGCTCTCGTCTTTTTCTTTGCTCTGTCTGTTTTAGCTCTGGCCCAGTCTGCTCACTCAGTGGCACTGCATGCAGGCATCCTGCTTTCCCATGACTCCCCTCACCCTCTCATGCACTCTGTGGTTTGGGGAATTCACCGTTTCCCAGGGTAGCTGTTTTTGGAGCTCATCTGTGTGTGTATGTGCGCATGTGTGTGTTAGCCATCTGTATGAGCATGTCATTAACACAGTCTATATGTTATACATCATCTGGAACAAATTTATCTAATATATCCTATGATTGTGTGGTGCCCCAAAATTTAGAGTGATTCATGTGAAAGTGTCTGCATGCTCTGAGCGACCTCACATCATATTGCATTACTCTGACGGTGCACTAAGCCTAATGTCTCTGCACATTTGATCTTGTGTGCATGTGTCTTTTCTTGACTTCAAGAGGCTGATCAAATGCCAAACTATATGTAACCACTTCCCATCCAGCTCTCTGGCTTTGACCACAGTTGACCAAGGTCATCTCACAGTCACACATGAACACTCACATGCACTACCAGCCCTCTTGTGCTCTGTCTGTCTGTGTCTGTGTGTGTGTGTGTGTGTGTGGTGGAGTTGTACAGTATGGCCAGACATGGCTGTGCATTTAACCCGTAGTCAGGGGCAGAAACCGGGTGTAGGAAATGCCAAGTCATACTTTCCGAAACCCACCCGCCCACACCCTGCACACGCGCACTCAAACACTCACACAGCCATACCGTGCAGACGCACACGACCACAGTCACAAACAGACTTTCTTTCCAGTGTGTGAACTCACATCTGTTTCCTGACAACAATAATAGCTACAGATCGGGCGGGTAGAGGCCCAACTAACAGGTGTCTGCTCTTTGACAGTCATGAAGAAACAACCTGATAATGACCAAAAAGTGTCACCAGTAAAAATACAGCTTTCACAAGGTGAAAAATGGCTGACCACACACTTACTCGTGCATGTAACAACACAGTTATGTTACTGGGTGTCTCAGCTTTTTCATCAAAGTTAATTAAAGGACTGTGATTTTCCACTACAGCTTGCATGATTTAGCAGTAAAACATAGGCCTATATTTGTCCTCACATCAGGTGAGATATGCCTCTTTCTCACACACGTTAACATTGTACAAACATCCTGTGGTGTTTATCTGTGGCACGCTGATGCTATACTGACATCGTCTGAGGTTAGCAGTGTAGGTAGCTGCGCAATGCAAGCGTGAGGGCTGCTAACCATATTAAGGTTAGCCTCAGACTAGGTCTGTGTGCATTTCCCCACTTAGTCACATAAACTGTCATTCACCTGCAAACCACACACATTCTTGAGTCAGAATACCTATGCATATATTTAGTGTGCTGTGTTAAAATCTGCTATGAAAACTAGTTTTGAAAACCTAATTACTAAGTGGATTTATTTGTGTGATTTTGATTCACTCTTTGTAATTAATTCCATATTTTAGGGCTGCAACTAATAGTTACTTTCATCATGGATTAATTAGCTCATTTAAAATTGCTTGATGTTACTACAGTTCAAGATTAAGTTTATAATTACATTTTAAACAGCATTAAATCCTTACATTTGAGAGGTTGGAACAGAAAAGGTTTGTTAATTGTTTACTTAAATGTCCTGCTAATCAATGACTAGAGTTTCAGCACTGAAATATTTAGGTAATAACCAACATATACTATCATCACCAACATTAAAGACTTTCTGAAAATATAAAAAAGGAAACCAAAATGAAAGAACAAGAAAGCTGAAGCAAAGGGAGGGAGCACTATTTTTGCAGACTCATGGACCAACATACTGCACATGAAGGAGCGCAACGGCAGCCAAAGAGTGCAGAAAGATAAAAGCAAATAAATTCTGCAGATTCACAAAAACCACACATACTTCCTATACAGTAACTGTACATCCTCCTCCTCATCTGTAGGGTTACACACAAACAAATGCGTTCAGTCACACAGACACACACATACACCATTTATTGTGTTGAAAGTTGAATGTTTTTGAGAAAAGAACCCCATAAACACATTAGCAAACACGCATTGTACATAAATATTTATTTCATTACAAAGGATGAGACAAACAGCATGACTCAGGCTTCATGATGTCATTTTTGAATCATCAGAAAGTATCATTCATTTAATGAAAAGGTAAAAATACACTTAAAAACAGAACCGCAACACATAAAGTAAATAAATACTGGCATAAATAATGCAAACATTCAATAAATTATGAACTTAATTGAATATCCAAACATGTTGCAGCAATGACACAATCACCTTCAGCAAAGATCCACAGTCTTCTTCACCTTTAGCCATTTCTGGGCTCAGTGCCTCTCTTTCCTCTCCAGTCCATCACCACTCAGTCACAGGTCTTTGAAAAACACCTTAGTGAGGGGGTATCCCAGAAAGCCTCTCTCTGGAGTCTCCAGCTTCATCTCCTCATCGTCTTCTTCATCAGACCCCTCCCCATATTGCCGATAGCCCAGCTTCCTGAAGAAGACCTCCCCCACCTTGGAAGGGTAGGGGACATGTGCGTACACTCTGTGAGCGCCACTCTCCCTCTCTCTCTGCTCCAGACTCTGAACAAGCAGCCGGCCCAGGCCCTCCCTGCGGTACCAGCTGCCCGTCACACACCTGCAGATCCTCCCGATGCCTGCTCGATTCTCGCTTTCCCGGAAGATGCAGCCGATGATGTCACTCTCGCAGTCCGCCACCCAGACCTGCCCCGCTGCCTGTTCCCTCTCTGGGGTGATCGTCTCTGTTGACATCTCTTTGTCCTTTTCTTTGGGTCCAATTCTGCGTCTGGGCTGAGTGAAAGAAATACGATTATTTGCCTGCAACATTCGGTAACAAGGATTAAATGAAGACTATCCGAAAAAAACGAGAATTTCCAGCAAACCAGTAGACTCACCCTCTTAGTCACTGGTGTCTTGCCACTGATCCTACAATAGGGATTCTGCAGAGTCTCATCCTGCGTCCCTCTGTAGCTGCTTCCCACGTAGTCCCAGGAGGGTCGGCTGCTGCCCAGAACCCCTGTGGACCGCGGCATGGTGATCTTGAGAAAGACAATTAGCAGGAAGACAGGAATAGCAAGAGCCAGGATAAAGGAATGGACAAGGCAGCGCAGGATTGAGGAGAAAACAGCCAGGATGAAGAGGCAGAGCGGGCGTGTGAGGATGTGCAGGATGAGACGGTTTTCTGTTCCCTCACAGCCCTCCTGGAGAGACATTGATACAAGTCATTTGTTTTTGTTGTTTGTTTGTTTTTTTTTTTAAATCGGCACAAGGACAAGAGTAAATTCTCACCGTGATAACAGCAGTCTGTCTAAAACATAACTATATTATACAAACCTTGATGAGGGCCTTGACTGCCTCTATGTCGTCCTCCTTCATCCTCCTCATCACCACCTGATCCAGCTCCAGCCTCACCATGTTTAGGCGTTATGCTCTGACAGCAGGATTGCTGGGCCACAGTTTCTACACACAGCCTATCCACCATCCACACTGTGTGCACAGGGACCCTACAAAAACACATAAGGAAGAGTACATGGACAGAAGGATGTCATTTTTTTTTGGGTGGGGGTAAAAGAGGTGACAGTGAAATGCATCTTTGGGGTGTTTGACACTAAATCATGCAGATGAGTCATCCTGCTGTAGACTGGCTGCTTTAGTGCTGTATTGCGTTATCTATACTATGACAGACACGTTGTTGTTGTTGTTGTTGTTGAAATGGGTCATTGTATTTCCAACTTTCATATTGTGCAACGTAGGCTTCGCCTACAAGTGAGCCAGTAGTTGCAATGTAACATCTCACCCACACTGGCTCCAAACAACAAAGACAGATGGGGATTATAGAGGATTTGTTGTATGCATGTGTCACCATCACTCTGTGCTTGTATCATGCACACCGGTCTAGCTTTCATCTGCACGTCTAACAGTGATCATCAAAGGTAGTCGAAAGCGAGAGGACCTTATTCAAACCCTTATATGGTGATTACGAAGTGCTGCCGTCTGTCCGGACACATTTAGACCCCCTTGCTCCTGCTCCTACCCCCCAACCCCCCCTGTTTCCGCTTACCTTGTGCAGCACGCAGCTCAGATTAAACAGAAAACGGGAGACACACACTGTATGTATCTTTCAGTTTGATGTGAAGTCCGTGTAGGTTTTGGCTCGTTTGATTTAATGACCAGAGTCGTTTCTTGCGGAGAGGAGGGATTCTGGAAACAAACGTACTCTGTCTCACGTCCCGTTGCACGTTGTCAATGTTTCCATCTACGCCATTTGCGTATGTGCAATCCGCACTGCGCAAAGGCTGCGCACGACGCTACGTGAATTGCAAACGCAACGTAAGAGCAAGCGGCGCTCCAAACGCTGTGAGCTTTGAATGTTTTTAAAGTTTTTTAAAAATAAAAAGACTACAAGAAAAAAAAAAGGCAAATGATGAAAGGTATTAACAGATTTATTATTAATTAGCTACTATTTACTTTTAACATTGTGAAGAAAGTGGGCCATGTACAACATTTATTCACAAAAACATATTTACTTAATAAACAAACTGCCAATGACAGTATCATTTAAACTAATATATTTAGGAATAGTCCGAGGTCCATGTACAGCCTATTTGAATGTATAACATTTCTAGTATGTGGCACCATGGGATTACAACACATTACTCATCTAACTGCATGTTCTCCCTCGGGAGAACTCAAACTGACTAAAGTGCTAACACACACCGAGCCCTCAAATAGTGAGGCGTCCACTCACACACACGCTTTCTTCTTCTTTAACATGCACACTGTTTTTAGTTAGAGAACTGCATCTCTTTATTAGGTATAGGTCCATTTCTTATTGTGTCTTCAGCTGATGTCTGTACCTCCGTGTTGTCTGTGGAGTTGTGTTCCTTTACAGACTTTTCCTTCGCCTCTGCCGTTACACTCTCATACTTCACTTCACTACTTTGTGAGATCTCCCCATCTCCTCCTCTCTCCATTCTTCCTTCCCTTAAGCTACTGGTGCTAACCTCAATTATGACAATTTCCTCTCCACTTTCCAGCTGAAATATATTTTCCATGGCTCCCCCGCCCTCAGTAACCCTACCACTTGCGGCATTGCAACCTGCCCCTTCTCCCATAATTCCCCCTTCTCCTTCTATCAGGGCTATCATCTGCATTCCCTCCTCAGTTTCCTGCTCCATCTTGGCCTCACCCCCAAGTTCAAACACCACCTCCTGCCCATCGAGTGGCACCAAACTCTGGGTAGGTGTGCAGGAAAGCTGCAGGCTGGTTTCCTGCCCTTGGCTGAAGGTAGCACTGGATGGGCCACCGTCCTGTGCCTCAGTGTGGAAATGAAGGACAAAAGACTCTCCCTGGCTGCCTTCCTCTCCTGTCTGTCTCTCTCCCTGCTCTTTCCCACCCCATTCACGCAGAAGTGACATCATCCCTCCTTTATCACCCCCCTTTTCCCCTTCACCTTGCCCATTTGTCTTGAACTGCAACACAAGCGATTTTCCCTCCCCACCCATTCCTCCGTCCCCTGCCTCATCTGAGGCATCCCCTTCAAACTGTAACACGTATGACTCCCCACCCTCCTCAATATTCATCCCTTCTTTGGCCCGTCCTTCATTATCAAAACATAACACAAACTGTTTCCCTGTCATGGTTTCCCCTGTCCTTATTTGCCCCACAGTGGTATGAGAGTTCCTTTCAGGGACAGAAGTACAAACTGATGCAGTGGCTACTGTTGTGGCTGGTGTAACCATGGTACCAGTTGATGAGGGTCCTGAGTTCACCACTGTGGGGACTAAAGTGGTGGAAGATGAAAGAATTGGGACAGTAGTGCAAGATGTTGACAGGGGAAAGTTGGACACTGTGGATACAGATGATGGTGATGACACTGTGATAGTGTTAGCAGCAGTAATAGTCTGTGTGACGCAGGTCACATTACAGTTTGTCACTGACAGAGCTCCACCTACAGTCTGACTGACAGGAGCTGTTGCAGATTTCTGAAGAGTGGCTTTTGGTTTGCGTCCCCGTCTGCCCCGTGCTGTCCGTGTGCTTTTCCCTAATATGGGCTTGGTCAGCAGGGAGTTGGCAGAGAGAGTGTGTGTTGGCGTGGCAACAGGAGTGTGTGCATTGTTATTATTGTTGGTGATTATGATCCTGGTCTGCTGTTGTTGCTGTGATATGGTCGGAAACTGGGGCATCTGAGTCTGTGTTTGGTTTAGGACGGGCTGGAGTGCTTGGATGGTCTGAAGCACAGGGAGGGTCTGAGGCTCCGGAGCTGGTGGAGGGTTGTTCGCCGTGGGGACGAGAATCAAGCTGGACTGGCTGCCATTATTGGAGGGGCACTGTAGAAGGAAGAAGTTTTGGGGCTGGGACGGAGGTGGTGGTGGAGGAGGTGGTGGGGCAGGTGGAGGGAATGATAGAGGAATGAGCTGCAGGCCGCTGGCTGTCTGAATCATAAAGTAGTTCTGGGAGGTGTTTGGGGGGATATTAAGTGCTGGCTGGGACACAATCAGGCTGCCATGGTTTCCTGAGGTTTCCAGGGTAATGGGGTTGAGCAGAGTTGTGGTAGTTGTGACTCCTCCAACACTGGCTTTTACAGCCACTCCATCTTTACCTCCACCACCAGGGCAGGGCAGGGGAACACTACTGCCGTGGGTACGTATGTGCCTCTGCAAGTAGGAGTGCATGACAAATTCTTTAGAGCAGTATGGGCATTTGAAGTCCTTGCTTGAGGAGTGTGTGCGAAGGTGGAGCTGGAGGTTGGAGGAGTGTGTAAAGCTTTTATTGCAGTGTGTACACTGAAACGGTCTCTCACCAGAATGGGTGCGTTCATGCTGCTCACAGAGAAAAACAAAAAGAGGGAACAGAAATTTAAAAAACTGTTTATAACATATAACAAGACAGATCAATTCCATACAAACTAAAAAAATTATTTCATAGCTGAATCTCTACAGGTTGTACTGACCTGTTTGAGGTTTGACGTCTGCGAGAAAGACTTTGAGCAGATGGAGCAGGTATGAGGCCGCAGTCCAGAGTGCATCTGACTGTGTCTACGCAGGCAGCTGGTGTTCTTGAAGGACTTTCCACACTCTTTACACACATAGGGCCTCTCACCTGTGTGCTGCCGCAAGTGGTACTGGTAGTGAGAGCTCCATTTAAAAGTGAGAGGGCAGTGGGGGCACTGGAATGCCCGAACACCTGTGTGTACCTGGGGGGGGGGAAGTGCAACATCTTTAAATTTACACTTTTTGGCATTGTTTTTTTTAATCATATTTACAGTATATATAAAAATCAGCTAGACAGTTTGTAGTTATTACTTATATAAATACTGTTTTTATATTGATTATTGTAGTAAGTAAAACTTAAAGAGTGCAATGAAATCCACTGTTCCCACTGAATGTTTTTCTAAATGCAGCCCAAGAATGGCAACCAGGAAACAACAAAATGTGTGAACGATGCAATCTAAAGTAACAGCTGTTACAAGTGGAGTGTTGTGTGATAACAGCCACTTATTCACAAGGAAGTTGTAACTGAAGAGTGTGTTATTGCATTGAAGGGAATTTTTTATCGCTTTTTGGATTCCTCTGTTGTATATTGGATTCATTTGCAGGGTGTGAACCGAACCATGCCGAGGAAATTCCCGTTAACTAGAGAAAAGTTCTGCAGTGATATAAATGATAAAAGATTTAGCTCCCAAATGATGGATCTCTCATTTGGAAACGTAACTCGGTATATTTCTTTCAACAGAAGACTGAGCCTTACCCTCTGATGGATTGAAAGCAGTGACGACCTCTTGAAGCTCTTCCCACATTCAGTGCAGCGGTAGGGCCTTTCCCCAGTGTGATCCCTCATGTGGTACTTTAGCCCTGATGAACCTTTGAAGGCTTTTCCACACTCTGAACAGCGGTACGGCCTCTCTGTATGAAAGTGTGCAAAAATGTAAATTAAAAATGACAAATAATACAGTAAAATCAGAATAAATGTTGGTTATCTAGCAACCATTGTAGTAATTATCACAGTAAAGTGAAACCTCTTTAGTGTTCAATTATTTTGAGAAAATAGTTTTCTGGTTGCTATGAATGTATTATAAAGCCGATATATTGGATACAAAATGGTTAATATTGCATTAAGAGAATTGCCAGTGCTGGGGGAGAGCATTTCATACCATAACACATGAGCAGATTCCTTGGCAGGTACTTCCTATTGTACAGTCAAATCTCCATCGTCTCCAAGTCCAAATCAAATTTATCCTCTGTTGTGTTATGTCTTTACCTCCAGCAGCAGTGCTCTTGCTGGCTCCTGTCTTTTTGGGGGCTTTGGTTGGTTTGGTCGGCTGCTCCTCTTGCTCCTCACCGACGGCAATGATGTCGACATGGATTTCCCTCTGGCCTTCCTGCTGCTTGTCAGCCTGGCTGGGAGAAGAGGGAAGGGGGAGAGACAGGGAGAGGGAAGGAGGGCACACTATCTCAGCCTCTGCCTCGGCCAGGAGACGTTGCTCAGGGGTGTGGGAGTGTTGGTGGGTGAGGAGTGAGGAGAGAAGGGGGAAGGAGCGGTCACAGGCGGAGCAGCTGAACTGGGAACGGGACTGTGATGATAGAGAGTGCATCTGGACAAACAAAAGGGGAACAAAGGAGTTTTTTTTAAACAGATAAATCAAAATGCAATATATTAAATCCAGTGCTCAATATACAGTCCATTGCTGTAATATGTTAGGAGAGCATTCTCACCAGTGACACATGTCTATTGAGGCCTCCACTGGTCTTGAAGGTCTTATTGCAGTAGCCACATGAGAGCCCTGCCCATGTGGTTCTGGCCTCTGGCTGAACGGTCTCAGAGCTCTGAGTCACCTCAGTGAAGCTCTGCAGCAGGTCAAACTGGGCCTGGGTGGTGCCCACATTCTGAGAAGAAACCAAAGGAAGTAATGCATATTAACAAAACAGAATGAACTTGAGCACTATAGGGTCGGTAATTTTTTTTTTTTTTTTAAATCAAATAAAACTATATTATATAAACGGATGAGTGAGATGTTTGGCTTGACCTTCAGCAGTACTGTCATTCTGTTCCATTCCACATCACAAATATATACTGCACAACTCAGTCTAATATTCAGACCATATTGCCAATTTGTCTCACTTCATCAGTTTATCTTGACATTTTGTTTACATTAGCTTGTTTTGTTTTACTTAAACCAATCAGTAGCGAGTGATGTATGTCACACTAACATCATTT